AGTAATGCTTGTGACAGCATTTTAGCTATTCACGTGGAAGAACTACTGAATACTACAACAGACCCAACCTGATTCTGTCAGCTACTGAAAGAGTTTGGCAAAATTAGAGGTTAGAATAGCAGCAATACTTTCCTTTCTGATCCTTTTGCTATTACTCGACCAGGGCCTTTAGCCTTCCACCTGCAAGAAAGATACCATAGTTGCAGAAGGAAGTTAATAGGCCAGTTGTCAAAGGTAATATATGCTTTGCCAAAAGTAAGTACACACCTGCCAAAATGTAGACTTTCTAGTTCTAAACCAAGTCTAGGTTTGTTTTCCTTCATATACTGCCCATGCATGTTGTTCTTACCCTGCTCATAACAGCACTGCGCTTCTGTCAAGATGATTCCCAGTTCAGTCAAACAAATCAACCAAGGTTGTAGTGTTGCCTTTTATCAAGACTTTGTCCACTTTTCACAAAAAGGATCAGTGCAATGTTCCCCCACTCTAGGCATTAATTTCAAGGTCAGATATTTTCATTATTTGCCTCTCAGCTAATTTCTATTTTCTTAGGCCACCACCAATTGCCATAACTGGTCTGGCTCAGCTACCTATAGGGAAATCATCTTCGAATGTGACCTTCAATCGCTGTAATACAATAGATGGAGAGAGCCCATCAATAACAGGGGGAGAGGGGTGGGAGGAAGACATGGAAGGGGAGGCAGAGCACAGGACTCACCGTTGAGAAAAACGGGAAAAAGAAGCTGCCAGCAGCCTCTGTCCTGAAATGATCACATCTCAGCCATCCTGATGCCGCCCAGGCAGGTACTACATTAGATCTGACTGGCAAAATACAGAGTTGTGCAACACCGATGCTCTATGCTGCTAACGTTTCCAGAAGATGAGTTTAGCTGGGATATTTATACAAATAACACAGCAGCATTGATGCCTTTTCTATTAGTGGCATGTGCTATCCGATTAGGATTAATGCCATACATACAATATAAAATGTTTTCCTTCACTACAATATTTCTG